CCTGATGTGGTATTAGGCAAACTTCAGAGACCATCTTCTCTTTGTGGGAACTGCTGTGATTTTGCTCAATGGAGGTGTTAGAGTAGACAAATTCCTGGTGTAAATAGAAGGGAGACTGGCAGAGTAGGTTTCCAGGAGCCTAAACTCAGGAAATACTTCCCCAGATTGATTTTAGGAAGCCATACTCTGATGATACTTCACTGTTTGGTACATAGAGCATGTGCTTACTTTTTATATGTATTGCATTTGATGTGGGCAGGGAGCAGGAGAGGTGAGCAGAAGCTGTAGTAAGTGGAACTTCAGTGCCGGATGAGATATGAGTTTTAATCATCACAAACAGAGAGGGGGATATGTGTGCCTGTAAATTTCAAATGTTTGTATGTACCTTTCAAAACTGGAGTCATTAAAAGCAAAAACATAACTCTTTACCCACATGTCCTTATGTGCCATGTAAGATTTCACTACCTCTTCTCAACAAAGGCCTATAATTTCAGCAGGTTGCTTTGTGCCACCTGTTCTATTTTCTTCCTTAATAGCACTTCTGGTCAGGAACAGATAGAGCTGACCTCCAAATTAGTATACCTTACATTTTTCCTAGTTTTGATTTTATGAGACCATTCTTAAAGGATTTGAGAGTAGTTATAGTTCTGGTAGATTTGACAAGATACATCACTGTTACACATGACAAAATATACATTAAACTGTGCTTCTTCAGATCACTATTCCTTTAATTAATGTATTGTTTCTAATGCAACAGACCACGTCAATTTATAGTCCGCTGTTGGAGACAAGAAATGCAGCTTTCTTTGTACTTCATCTATTGTCATAACATGATCAATTTCTTATAAGTTAACTGGAAGTTGGAATGGTTTTGCAGGATGAGTAATTGTATTATTTATGATTCTGTTTTTGACCCAGCTAGTGAAATTACACTTTCTCATATAAGGATTAAAATTTCTATTTAGCAATCTGAGTTATTAGGAGTAACTGCATATATATACATATATAACTCAGCTGATTTCTCCTTAGCATCTGTTTTTCACTTGTGCAAACTGAGTAATAGGTCTAGAATTAAGATCCAGATAAATGATGTTGGTTTCTCTATTATAGATAGATTAGGGAAATGCAGTGCTTGGAATATATAAGTACTTTTATTTTTTCAGCAATTATGCCTTTCTGTGGTGCAGGGTTTTTTTCTTGTTTGTTTGTTTGTTTAAAAAGCATTTTAAATAAACCCATACAATCTTTCTGTCACCAAGGTGATAAACTGTGTGTCACTCTGGAGCCTTGCTCTTTCCTTGACTGTTTACTCTTTCCTTGTTCTAACTGTTTTGAAATCAGAGTACTCTTTTGCCTATGGTTCTAAAGTATATGTAGGTATGAGTGTTTTGCTCGTTTCTTTCTCACCTCCTGTGTAGTCTTTGGCCTTCTTTATGCCCATCTTCATAGTCCTCTTCAAAAATCACATCACCTAAATCATCTTGTTTCAAGACAAGTATTCTTTTTTGTAATAATTGAATTAGAAAGTGCAATAATGACTGGAAGATACAGATTAGCCAAATATCTGGATTTGCAGAGTACTGTGGAGAGCAAAGAGGAAGTTAAATCTCAAGATACAGTTAAACATAACAAAAAAACCCCGAACCTTTCAGGATGTTGTGGATGAGGCAAATTCTGGTCACATTATTAAGAAAGACACCATCTTGTTGCAGTTGTGCACACATAAGGCATTAAGTTATTGTTGTACTTGCACTCAGTTACTTAAGGTCTCCTGAACTCTTGAGAGTGCTTTCGCATTTAATGTATACATTCTTTCATCATAATATTTTATTTAATCAATGCATTTATCTTCATGTCTGTCTGAATAGATGGATAACATGTATTTAGTAGCATGAATGATGGAATGTCTCTTACAATTAATTGATTTTTAATTTTTGACTGAAATAGGAAAACTGAGCCTTTTTCAGATTTTTTACACCAAAATAAGCATTTCTTCAGGGAAAAATTTGTACAAAAGACATTAATTATTTTAGTCTCAACTCAACTGTTACAGCAAAGTAATCAGCAAAATGTTAGGTTAAAGTTAGAACATGCTATCTTAATTACTGAGCTAATTATATCTGTGTGGTCTGTTAGAACTGACCTTGACTTCTGTGTTTACCACTCACGGAGTAACATCATACAGCTTTTCAAGATCTCATACTGGGCACTGGTTTCTAACCTCTGGGCATCAGCCACTGTTACTCCAGCAGAGCTGATGAAGCTACTGAAGATCATCTGCTTACATTTTTTCAGGAGGTCACGTCCAGGTAAATACTATAGCCCTACAGCAGTCTTGTATCAAAGTCCTGTACCTCTCTCTTGTTGTTAATCCTAAGCAGTGTAAGAGGGAGAACTCTGTAAATTAGTTGGTCTGTTGTTTCATTTTATAAAAAAATATTCTGAGGTCATATTTCACTGACTCTTTCATGTACTCATCATATCTTTCAGGGGGCAGACTTTTTTTATTCATGTATAAACCTTTCCAGTGGTCTCAAACATATTGCAAGTGTTTTAGACTGTAATTCCTCATTTGTCTTCAATGAGAATAAAGGGGTTTCTGTCTCTGACCACAGACTTTGCCCACAGGCTCCCTCTGGCCTGTGGCAGCATAGTGGAGTGGCTGGGGTTAAAAACAATCTTTTCTCTCAGTGAACTGCTCTGGTTTGCAAGGCAGACCTACAACAATTGTGGTGGTGTAACAGAGGAGGCAGTGGTGTGAAAAACTAGAGTGGGATCTCCGAAAACTAGGATGCAGAAGGGGATGGGTTGTGGTCTTTGTAGCAAAGCGGTCTGGTGGCGAGTTATTGCTAAGATGGCCAGCCTGTCCTTTCCCTTTCTCCTAACATCCTTATTACTTTGGGTTGGACCTGGAAATTGCATGGTGACAAGATGAGTCTTCTGGCAGATCAGCCTTCAGATTATTCTGCATGGTGAGGGGAAAGAGGAGGAAAAGTTTCTATCACATCAGCCAGCTGAATCAACTTTCCCTGTAGCTGTATGACTGGGAGCAGGGGAACACTGTGTGGCTGGTGGCAGATGGAAGGACTGGCTGCAGGATCTGGCAGCTAAGATCAGCTCTGGCCACTGGGGAACCTCAGCCAGAGGCAGTAGTTTCACAGGGAGTTCAAGCTGATGTAGGTCGCTGCTGCTACCAAAGAGGAAATCCTGCGTCCCACAGGGCCTCACTAGCTCTCTCCTCTCTCTCAGGTCATGACAAACACTCACAGAGCCAGGCTATGAAACAGGTCAGGATATTGGTTCAGATTTTAACAACCACCTCTTTTCTTTCCTTCGGATGTATGTTTGCTAGCCAACTGCTCATTTTGGCACTAGAAGAAATTTCAGGGGACAGGTGAGATTGATTCTGTTGGGTCTGAAATTAAACCCTGAAGTTTCCATTTAATAATATATGATGAAGTGATCCAGCAGGTTTCTGCTGCGGATGTGTTTTACTGCCTCCTCTCGCTATTCCGAGCTGCACACTCCTGATGCTTATTTTGCTCCCATTATGGCACTCCTCAGATACCTCCATGGACCAGTAGAACTTGCTACCATGGTTTTCCCCTGTCATGTAGGTTGAATCTGCTCACTGAAGGAGCCAGTGGGTGCCAGATGCAGTGCAAGGCTGGGCAAGGAGGGCTCAGTGGTTGGAAGTGGGGAGGCAGAGGGAGAACCAACCCTCTTAGAACCATTTGGCTGCTCCTGGAGCCAGAGCCCTGGAGGGAAGGAGTGGGGAACCACATCTTCTGGTTGGACCTCATTGCACTAAACCAGTCTGGTGAGCTCAGCAGATAGAGCTGACCCAACCTCCTCAGAGGTGGTTGCTCCTCTCCCTCCTTGCTAAAAAGCCATTTTGTCTTACCGACTTTTGTCTTACTGGTTGTTTCTTCATCACCCTGTTAATTATCCCAAATGTAATGAATATGTATCTCAATTGCTGGGTCTCAGTATAGATTTGTAATTTATTA